TCCCTTCTTGCTCTCCCCCTACTCCAGGAGGGATGGAGAGGAGAATCGACTAGAATGCAACTCCCATGGATTGAGATAAGAACAGTTTAGTACCTAAGGTATAACACAAATCACTACTGCTACCACCAGTAATAATAATGATAAAGGAAATAACAAGGGAAGAGAATACAACATCTCACCACCAGCCGACCAATAACTCGCCCCCCCAGCCCGACCAAGCTCTGACCGATACATCCTCCAACCCTGCAGTCCCAGTCCTTCTGGGTAACTCCCAGTTACATCCTGGGCATGACGTGCTGTGGTATGGAATACCTCTTTGGTCGGTTTGGGTCAGGTGTCCTGCTTCCTCCCGGCTTCCCCTCTTCCCTGGCAGAGCATGAGACTCACAAAGTCCTTGGCCAAACCAAAACATCGGTGTTATCAGCTCTGTTCCCAGGCCAAAAGTCAAAACACAGCACTGAACCAGCTACCAAGAACGAGAAAAATTACTGTTACTGCTGAACCCAGGACAAGCACTGAGATTCCAGTGCAAAAAAATTGCTTCGAAAAGAAATTTTAAGCTTAATTATGACTAGTATGCTTAGATTTGCTGATAATTGATAGTTCTGGGTGTGCTGGCATAGAATGTGTCCTTTCCAGTCTAATCGTAAATCTTAGAATATCAGGTTGGGTTATAGAAGAAAGATATAAGCCTGCAGAGTAGAAAAGCAATTCATAGGCAGAAAACAGCTACCTTTTCATAAGGATATTAGCATTAAATGTTTTACAAAACCTTAAAGTGTTTCATTGAAGACAAGTTGTAGTTGCCTTAAAATGATTGTTTTGAGAGTTTAAGAGAAGAACCTCTGAGATATCTTTTTTAACTATGTGGTCATCTGTAAAGTCAACTGCTTTCTAAAGGTGTGCATTAATATCCACCACAAGGAAATGCTCCAGGGTAATTTTGTCACAGGTTTCATTACAAGATTAATATTTTAGAAAACCACCGAAGGACTGTTTTCTGACCAACTTCACTTGCATGGAAGATTCTAAATATTTCATGAATGCAAAGGTTTAGCAGATCCCTTGCAGAAGTGCAATGGCTCGAAGTGAGCTTGCTCAGGTACTGGGACAGTGCAGGCATGTTATACTGTTGTACAGCTGTGCATGCATTCTGCTCATGATCGTACTGGGCTGTACAGGTGGCCCAGCTACCCAAAGTGTAGTATGTCATTCATAAACTCTGCCTTGACTCTTTAATGCAGAAGATGGAAGCATGAGTTTTTATTCAAGGTGCCAGTTCGTCTGGAAAGTAAAGGCCTGAATTATGCAAACACTTGCAGCAGATGCTTTACTTAAGTGGGGAAGGAGTCTCAAAACCATTTAAGTCTACAATTTGCAACACCAAGGAAAAGCATTTTTATAGATGCTGAAGGGTCAGATATATTTCACTAACTCTTTGATCTCCTTGGTTGAATAGGATTGGTAGCAGTGACAATTATTATCATTATGGTGCATATTCCTGCATCTTTTTCTGATAAAATAGAGCTCATGAACCATGTTTTCACTTGTAAATACATATTTGAGCTTTACAAAAAAGGTAAATGAGCTTTACCTTGCTATACAATATGTTTATCTGTGAAAAGCATTAATCTTGAACACAGACTAAAATGTAATGCATCAGAGACACGTGAAATCACCACAAAGATTAAGGTTTTGGTCCTATAATTTGTGTAAGAGGTTTTGAGTGATAATATTAAGTGCCATTGCTTTCAGAGCTAGTGAGAAAGAGGATGCTTTTCAATATCAAACAAATAGAAGATAAAAGAATTTTTCAGACATTGAACATGAAAGACATGAAAAAGGATGGAGACAAAGCAGGCTGCACTTTGAACATACTCTTTTGTTGACCTATATCTCATTTAGCCAATGGCTTGCCTACAGGCTCAATCCTGCTCACCAGGGAGTGCTATCCAGTTCTCAGGGATGCCTAGAGATGCATCTGCACTGTATAATTGATGGGCAGCTTGTCCAGGGCGCTGGAGAGTTCTGTGGGTCTGTATGATGCTCTGTGCTAGCCAGAAGCCAGAATGCTAGGTGCAGACTTCAAGGGATGTACTGAGACAGAGCTGATAAACCCTGCTGGACCTGAGCTGAGCCTGTGCAACCAGATATCACTGTAGTAGATGATATGATATCTCTAGCCATATCTGGGTTTTTTCCTTATTAATCAGGATTAATCAAATAACACCTCAGCAGATGGTTATCCTGTGCTATTAGTTTGTCTCCTCATTATCACTTTGTGTCTTTTTGCTCAGGACTGGATTTAGTATGGTATAACTGCGTGATACCTTTGAGCTGTATTAGAAAAAAAGGTTTCAAGGGTGAAACCACCACTCCGGATGTAATTGACACATTCAGTTGGTTGCATTACAATTTATTTGGTTGACAAGCAGAACTCATTAAAAAGCACCTGATTGCCCATGTACCTTATTACATTTAATTTCAGTGCATTAAATCTAATGTGAATTAAATTGAATTTAGTGGCAATGAAAGAATAGTGGTGTAAGGGTATGGGGCTCACTAGATTAAGGTTGCAGAGGCTTGAATCATTTTAGCTGGAAATGTATATTTTTCCTACGTCAAAATGCTGACCGAGAATGTGAAAATATATAGTCAATGTAGAGAGGGGATGATATGGCTGAGGAAACCAAGTGGACATAAAGTGGAGGCAATGTCAACAAATGCCAAAAACTGTAATGGTGCTAATAACACGACTAAGCAGCTTAAAAACCAAAGTGAACTGCTAACTTCAGAGTATCTGTTTGAAAGAGAGATCAGCTATTAGATGAATGCTCCTATTGCAGGAACAAAATGACTATGGTATAGCGGCAAGTCTGTGACTATATAGAAGTTATTTTGAAACCTTTTGCAACAACTCTTCCATTTTGATTAGCCACAACCCATTGAGTATGTGTTCTTCACATGACAGAACTCAGATGACAGAACCCAAGAAAAGAATGAAAATGCAGTTGATGTCATTTTCCTCATTCAAGAATCCTCTCATTGAAAAATAGCCTCCTTTGGGAAAAAGAAACATCTGGTAAGAAGTGTTGAAATTAGTATACAATATCCCAAATTAATATTATTTTAGCTACTACTGAAAACTTAAATATTTGATTAAATGCAAAATTTTTTGAGAATGATTTTGATCTTTCATAAAAGTATCAATTCAAATATCACAAGCAACTAATTTTAACTGAAAAAAAAAAAAGAAACCTGGCAAATTTTCACCTTTCAACACAAGCAGCTTTGTTCTTTTTCATTTTTTGTGACTTGTAGATCAAAATCAATTGTAATAATGATTGCCATAGAAGTGCTACTTAACATGTTATTTTTTTTTGTGTGATTTTAGGCAGGATTAAAGATGAAGACACACCGTGTAGGTAAGTTGAGTTTTTCTTCGCCTCCATTTACTTTTTTAAACCTGTGACTCCTTTACATGTAGGGGGAACTTAGAAATTTGTTATGCCTCTATACACCTACATGTAGAAGTCTGCTCTGAGATATCTCAAACTACAGTCATGTTTTTTGTCTAAAGGCTTGTTATCTGATCCAAAGACTTCACTGGGGTTAAAATGTATATTGAGGCAATATATTCCTTGAAAGGAAGCTGCTGTTTTAGTCAGAGTGAGAATTTACATGGTGTATTTTGAACTGTGGTGAGCCAGGATGCAACCTGCTAATGGGCTGAGAAGCAGCATAATTTTTTGTCTTACTTTCTTTATTAGCCTTGTTGAGAGGTGCAAGCCTGCTCTCAGACTCACACTGACTGCATGTTTGGTTCAATGAGCTGTTTTGTGCTGAAGGACCAACCTGTATAAAGCTTATGTGGGCTTACTGCTTGCTTCACTGTTCCAGGAAGTTGTGCTACATCATCCTTATCACCCACAAATGTGGCTTCTGCATTTGTAATAGCCTTCCATTGCTGGCAGTGTTAAAAACCTGCACACCTTCTAGGCATGACCATGGTTTTCTTTCTGATTTCACCTCAGTGCTGTGCTTTCAGAAGCAGATCATCAGGTTGACTGTTTCTGACCTTCAGGGGCAGAGACCTGGCCTTCCAAACACACAAAGGCTTTGTGTCCAATAGGTTGGTGTATCAAGGGGGAGGTTGTAAGCAAGATGAAGAAGAAATGGATAATTGCAGAAAAAAAATTCTGGTTTAGACAGAAAGTTGTATGTTCTGTCCTGCATTGGCTTTCTGATGTGGTATTTGAATGTAAGGAGAAAATGGGAGGGGGATAATGAAATGGAATAAATGTGGCAATGACTTCTTTCCCATGTACTATTAAAAACATAAGTCTGTCTCTGTACTCATCAAGGATGAGTTCAAGATGACTATAAGCTTGGTTTGAGTAAATGGCATAAATTAAATACATTTTTAAAGAATGTATCAAGTTAGCAAAGTTTTATTAGCTCAGGAGGAAAGCAAGTTTGCCCGTCTGATAGAGAGGAAAAGGATTTTTGAAGTCACAAATCCATTCATTCTTCAAGCTGCACAGTAGTCAGGCATATTGTTCTCTCTTGGATGAACTTTGTGATCACTGGGACCAAATGCTCTGTTCCACTGCATTATTTATTACATTTATTTCAGTGGCAAACCTGTTTTCCAGTAGCAAACATAAATACAGAAAAATCAAATGATTGCTCAGACAGTGCTCCATAATTATGTTGCTAAAAGCAAGGCAAAGTAAGTTGTAGTACCATAGTGATTCAGCTGTATTGTTTGCTGTACGCAGCAAATGAATGTAACAGTCCATATGAATTCAGTCTGACCCTAAATGCTTACAAGACTTTCATGTGTAAGACCTTAAAAAAAACTAAAATGCTGTTTGTGATATCTCAGCCAGAAGTCATGGGAATGAGTAACGATCTTTAGCGCAGGCTCTTCATGAGAACTACCGCAAGAGGAAAAAGGATGACATTAGGCCTATGAAATAATAATCAAAGACTATGGTACGTGGAATGTTCTCTTTTTATTTTAAATATACCTATTACAATAATTTGTTAGGCTTATATAGAGCGCTACTATTTACATAATTCAGTGTTTATCCTTTGGGGAGAATTCCAGTGCTGAATAAATATGAGTCAGTGAGCTGCTTGTTAACCATCTTGGAATCAGAGTTCTGAAATATTAGTTTCATATAGATGATTAAAGTCCTTGAAATGGTTACAGTTTCCTGTAGTTTCATACAGTGAGTATCTTCTGACTGCAGTCAGATTGTGTTGAAAACTCTAAACATAGCTATAGGGAATCAGAAGAAAGTTTAACAACAACATCAAATTAAAAAAACCAAAATTCTGAAAAACATCAGTGGTTGAAACCCTACATTTTTCAGATGCATTTCAGGATGATGGTATTGTTAAAAGGAACAAACAATAAATTTGGTAAAAACTTTGCTATAAAATGTATAGATCATGGGGTGAAATATACAATCAATAAAAAATACAGATTTTTACAAGGTCTTGTTTGAACATGGCATCTTAAAATGTGCTTGCAGGTAAGAATGGTTTTCATTTTTTTTAAATAAAATTCAATTTTCCATGGTTACTATTTCTTACGCATGACTTTATGCATCATGTATATACTATGTAAAACACATAAAATATTAAATTGTCAGTACACGGAATATCATTAGCTGAGAACATGAAGCAAGGGTTCATATAAGATCCCACTCAATGCTATGTGTGTAAGCTCAAATAGAAAGGGACTTTGGTCCTGATCTTGCACTAAGAAAGTAAACGTGGTCCCATGTTTCTACATACAGAACCTTACTGTCTTTACAGAGATCATACTAGTCCTGTATGTGTCAACCATCCCATTTTCATGTAACCCACCACAGAAAATGGGTTTGAATCAGGACAAGCAGCTGAAAGGTTTTTTTCTCCTAATTCTCATCAATATATTTCAGAGGTCAAGTCCATGGCACATTATGTGAGTGTCTGAATATCTATGACATTCAGCTATGGCACTCAGTTTCATTTCCCCAACATAGAGAAGGACAGAATGGAAATGCAGCTCATGACTACCAGGCATTTATCTAAAAAATATAACATTATTAGCATTATCATGGAATAGAAACTAATTGACAACACAAGCCTGTGTGTTCAACAAAACATCTTTGATTTCAGTAGCATTACAGTTTGGCAAAGAAGAGTTTCTGAATTATCTTTGTTACAGATTTGAATCTGGCACATTTAAGACACCCACCCACCTATTAAAATAATATTTTAAAGCAAAATTAATGTCTGATATAAAATAACAGTTGTGTTGTAAATGTGGAAAAATAGTCTACAAAAAATAAGTATAAAAGTGATCTCAGATTTATGACTATGTTTCATATAAACAAGTCCAGGTGACTATTCTGTCTGTTAGAAATGGCCCTTGGTAGGCGGTGTCACAACAGTACATCACAGTTTTCACAGTTTACTATAACACAGTAAGATTCACAATGTGATGACACCTAATTTAAGAAAAATAGTATTTTACAAACTATACATTTGGCATCTATTTTTAGATTTTTTTTTTGTTTCTTTTTCAGTTCCTTTTTTCATTTCCCTTTTTTTTCTTACAAAATAGTGCAAAATTACAGTGTGTTAATAGAAGGTTTTGTAAATCCTAATAAAAAGTCAGTATATTTAACTGTTTTGCTCATTCACTGGAAACAGTTTGGCACGTTAGGATTTTGTATAGATGGAAAAGCTTCTCATTTTCTTCTCTTCAGTATATCCACTGAATCTTTAAAACATTAAATTGCACCAAGGAGTTAATTTTCCAGATTTTAAAATCTCATCTCTTATAACGTGTATTACAAAACAAAACAGCAAAGGAATATGTAGATTTTGGGTTATTTGCCAAAGAGCATATATCAGGAGGGCTTTTCCTATCATGTTATAAAGGGATTGATGTGAACATTTTTCATCTGGTGACTGCTGAAGTGTTTAGTTAGAGCTTCAAAGCCCTATAGGAAATTTATGCCAACTTTATATATATGTAAGTGTTAGTTTACTTTATATCTTTCAAATTTTGCTATCATGTATGTGCGGGTATCTGGCTGTATTAAGCCATGGGGATAAAGTTTCATCAAAGCCTGATTTTGACTGGACTGATTCATATAAAGAATAACAAACAATCACTTTTGCTGCCAATTTGTAATGATTAAATGATTTTCCTACTAATTATTTACTTAGGAATGTTAATAAAGAGCTCCCCCTGTAAAAATACTTCTTCATTTTTACAGACTGTCACCATAACTCAGAAAAATACCAGTGTTCATTTCTTGGAACAGTGAAGTCTTCTGCATAAACAGGTATGGTACAGACTGCAGGAGTGAGAGTGTCCTAAGTCATCCCGTGAGTGTGTCAAGAAATACACAGAAGAAGTCCGATGAGTTTTGGTTCAGTTCTATGCCTCCTTGGCTGAAAGCAAGAATGAGAAACCTGACTAAGATCACCAAGTCACCTACAAGAGGTTGCCAAGCAGCTGTATGTACCAACCTACTCATAATACAGGCTATTAACCTGGAGGTAAAAGGCTATCTGCCACATGAGCAAACCTCTGAACTGTTCACTGCACAGGGACTGCTGGTTTCAGTTAACTGAGAATATGGTAACATAAAAGATTCCAAATTATCTTTCCAAAGGAGTAATGAAGTGACTTTTTTCAATATGAAAACTGAAGGTTGATGTCTCTTGACCTAATAATTTCCCATGAGTTTATGTTTTTATCATATGTATCAATCTGTGGCATTTGTACCATCAATTAAAATTACTGCTGCACTGTTTATTTAATAAATTTCTTGGTGTTTCTGTACCTTTTATGAACATATCTAACCAGTATGAATTTTATACTGATTTTATGAAGGTAGAATTTGTTATAGCACTCGAGCTAGTTATTCAGATATTAGAAGAGAAACATCCATGAATAAGAAGGTGATTTTTTACCCCAGCCATTCCACCCTTGGCTCAGTGCATTACTAGCACGGAAATTTCCCAAATCACCTGCTGACTTTCATGGAAGATTTGCCTGAGCAAGGAGTGAAAGATGAAGCTGAAATAACTATTTTCTATTAATCATATTGATTGACTTCTGACAATTAAAACTCACACTAAAACCAAACAAAACAGAACTGTCAGTCACTATTAATGAAAAAGCCTACCAACTGGCAGATAAACAAATATTTCCCCTAGACTGTCTTCTCAGTAATGTACTAGTTTTGACCAAGGAAACACTTGAGTATTTGATTAACTTTCACTGTTTAGTTTAAATAGGTGAGAAGCCTCCTTATCAGCCTGTACAGGCACAACTTTTGTTCCCACTCTTCATGTACAGTTGATCCCTCACAGAGTCCCATCTAGGCTGAATCAAATATATTCCTCCAAAAGGAAAATGAGGTATGGCTGAGACTGACCGTCTCTAGGGCACACTCAGTCCAGATTAAAAGAATGCACACACGGCCAGGTCCTTGAAATACTATCTCAGCAAGCCTCAGCTCCTCTCAGCTCCTTACATGACATGCAAGTTCATTCACCCTGCACAGCACAGGCAGGAGGTTGGGTGGAGTGCCATGCTGAGTGAATGGCATGAGGCAATGGTAGCATATATAGTATGCTGAAGCAGAAGTGTAGGGCCAAAACATATTGGATAAACTCTAAGGCAGAATTGGTTCAAACAGTTTTCAGTGTGGAATAGCCAGTCTACTCATAGAATGGGCACACATAATGCAAAAGGCTGTACAAATCAGCCTCTGTTGCTTACAGACTGTATTCTCTGGCACAATTCCAAAGGCAGTAAAAACATACTGTTTGAAGCCCCAGTGCATTAAAGCATTTAAGATGCTCTTAAATTTAAGCCCATGCTTGAGTCTCAGGATCATATGCATATGTGCTGAAGGTTATTCTTGAATCAAGTCCAGAAAATCTTACTGCATAAGGACAGGAAGATTTATTTCAAAATAAAAAAAGAAAAGAATAGGATTCTTGAAATCAGATAATAAATATATTATAGCTTGCTGACAGACTTCACTCTTCCCCTGAAAGTTACTTTTCTGTCTAATAAAGGAGGTAATACAAAGCAAGCAGGAATCCCATCCTTGAATAATCAGCAACAGTTGTTGCTTGTTTAACTGAAGCTTGTTTGATTAGAAAATTACCTTATGTTGTTGGTTCTTTTTAAACATACATAAGTAGCAAGAAAACAGTAAGTAGCTGTTTACTATGCTGAGTAGTGCCAGTTTCACATATCTTGCTCAGCCTGCATGAACTGTAGATATCTCCACATACATTCTTGCTCAGTCCAACATTCATTTTATTTGATATATTTCTTAAAAGACAAATATGTTGTTGGATGTGCCTTGCAACTTCTGGGGGCTTTGGTCAGACTGCTGCTTCATTGTGAGTACAGCCATCTTAGACAGCAAGAAGTATTCAAAGAAACTGGCAACCAGGATTCACTAACAGATGGCGATCTGCTGAGCAAGAGCTACTATGGTCATTGAATGTTTGTGAAATTAAATTAAACTCTGCTTTAGAAGGATCTGCTGCTAGTTCTGACTGATGTATGTTCACATTCAGCAGAGTAGCGATGCATCTGCAGTTAGTATTTTATCTGGTTTGGGTCTTACTTTCCACACTGAGAAAGGCAGTAATGTTGATAGCTCTGTGCATGACAGAGAGCCTAAAAACATCCAAAAGAAGTTGTAAAAGGAAGAATAATGATTACTGTCTGTCTTCAGTGACTGCTGAGTTAACTTGTGACAAGTGCATATGGAAGATTATTGTGGACTGGCAAATAAAATAAACTGAATACTTGACATAAATTTGTTGAGAAGATAGTAAGAATTGGTGTGATTTCTCATCTTTCATTTCTCTTTTCTTGTACAGCTACCTTCTTTACCAGTGGTAGCAAGGTGTAAATAATATCATATTCTTTATTTGAACTAGTTCCATATATTAATTATATATTTTAATCCATACTTAATTGGTTTTGCCCATTCTTCTTCACAATGATTTACTATTTGAATCTATTTATGCTAGGCTGTTCATGTAGGGTAGCTCACTGAGTGAGCACAGACATCGCAACACAATATTACGTATCTAGACTGGAATCAATCTTCTGTGAGTTAGGCATATATGTTTAGGTAGACTGCCTTTATCCATGCAAGGAGTTCAGATGTTTTACATCCTTCACTTCACATCATTTACTACGTAGGCTGGACATGCCCTAAGGTGATTCATCTTCTGTCATCAAAGCTCTTTATATCCAGAACTGCTTAAGGTTTGATACCTGCAGATGCACATTACTTTAATATAAATGCCTGGCTTACTTATGTTCCAGCCCACACTCCAAGAATGTCAGTGAAGGTGAGGTCATGTCTCTTCATCTCTCTTGCTTAGAATTTGGTCATGATTCTTGGTCATTTCAATCTGGATTAGATTTCTCTCCTGTTTCATTAATCTCTGAAATGATTTTAGCAATGTGTCCCAAAAGCAAAGTATACTGGCCATGTGTGGAGTTTCTGTAAAGAGAACAGCTCTCCTTCCTGTTCCATCATAAGATTTTCAATTACTTAAAATTTCAGATTAGCCATGCTGACTGGATCCAGTGCTCACAGAGGTAATGACATTACTTACAGGCTTACAAATCAGCATGTATTTCAAAGCTTTCCTGTGCATACACTGATTGATATTTGTAGTAACAAATCATATATCTTATTATTGGGCTTACTTGCTATTAATATAAGAATTTATTGGCTAAATCTTGATGCCAAGAAACCAATCTGATTTGATATAAGGCCTCGTGACACACAAAACAACTCCCACTATCTGAAATGAGGAATGAATTAAGTGACTGTGCACATTCACCAAGGGGTGAATGCAATTCCACTGAGATCAATGCAAATAACTTCCAAATTCCAGCATCAGGGGAATCAGATTATTCAGCCAAAGCAGTAGCATATTCAGTGACAGAGGGTTTCACTGCCCTCCTGAAAACAAAAGGTGTTATATCCTAGAGGACAGACTGTAAGCAATAGCCACTTGCTTTAAAAATGATGGAAATACTACTCACATCTACTTACATATACATCAATACCAGCACTTTGTTTTTAGAAGTCTGGTTTCATTATATTGCATTAATTTGCAAGGTAAGCTCTCTTGCTTTGTATTGGAATGCTGGTGAGTATAGGAGGTTCACAGTATATATTGCAAACTGGCTTTTAAAGACAACAATAAGTAATATAAATAAATATCTCTATCAGAATCCAGCTTTTGAAGCCATAGGGAGAGCACAAGTGTTTCTATAACCTTCCTGTGGAGTTTCCTGGTTTAGAAATTTGACTACATTACTCTTACAGTCTTCTGTGTTTCTATTCCAACCTGGGGTAAAAAAAAAATAAATCTGGCAAATCACCATATCTTTTGCTAAATGTTTATCATAGTTTATCCCTTATTTCTTACTTCAGCAATGCTCTCTACAAGTTTAATCTTAATTAAATATATGACCAACTACTTTGCTTGATCAGGGTCTTATACATCAATGGTGCTTTTCCAGTTAAACTTTTTTTTTTTTTCCAGTAGAAGATGTGATTTGTAACACATTCTGACTTGAAAAAACAAGCTTTCACTTGATACCAAAACACGTCTGTACATTTATGTCATGAAACCAGCCTTGTACACATGAATACGTATATAGCAATCACATATTTTTGTTCTAGCTGAAACAAATAAGTAATAAAATCACAGAAAAGCAGACATTTTAAACAATCATGACAATCATCACATTTTTGTATTTGCTATCAAAGAAAACTTGACACTTAAGAACCTATTTATATATTCAAAATTCAACTGGTGCTCTTGAGTGCATTTTTTGTACCTGTCACATAAAATATTTTCAAAAATCAAATTTCATTAGCTTAATAAGTTTAATGGTTGAATGTGTCAGCCTGATAACTTATTTACTGAATTTCAGCATATTTCTTTCAGAAAATAAACTCTTTGGTCATTTTTTTGTTTCTTCACATTCATCAGTCATAACAGCAAGGTGTTCAGCTACAATTAAAGTTCAACAGATACAATTTTGCAGAACTGGGGACAAATTCACAATTATTTGAGAAATTATATGAGAGAAATTGATAAAATTTTCAACAGTCTATTTCTAAAAATCCATTACTACCAGCTGAATTCAGTGCATTAGGCTAATGTAATCAAACACCTATGTTAAAATCTGTTTGTCTCTGTATCATCAATGTGATACCACTTACAGCCCTGGTTCAGGTAAACAATATTTGAGACACAATGAGACTTAAGGACATGCTGCGTTTAAATGCACTCAAAACTTGGATGAATCTGAGATTTGGCCACTAAGGTTGTACGTCTTCTCTATATCTGACTTTATTCTTCAAAGACTAAGAACAGACATATTCCTAACATAACTTAATGGAGAGATCTGTTAGAACACATCTTATTTTTAGAAACAAAGACTGTCTACTGCTGTCATACCTTTTAGAAATTATATTTCTAGGTTTCTCACCCTTAAAAAGGAGTGAAATTGATAGTATTGGACTAATGGCAGGTATTTAACTTTACTGTGTTCTTAAAATGTAAGAAGAACCATAAAATACTGTCTTTTTAATATTACACACATTTCAGGCTGGAACAGCAAATTATGTTCTTAAAGTTCTCTCTGGCATTTAAAGTTGTGTCCTCATTTTCCAGATAGGTTAAACAGCAAACGTAATGTTAAAAAAAAAAAAAAAAAAGAGAACTGTTAAAAATGACTACTTTAAGTGTAAGACTGGGACATATTTCACAGAAAAATCTTGTTTAAAAATCATAGTAAACAATCAAGTATTCTTCAGTGCACATAATTAGTATGTACATTATAATTTAAAACCAAGTATTGATGACTGCTGCTGCTGATCTTTTAAAATCTCTTACAAAATATAAATAGGATAGCCAAGAGAGGATAGCTGATAAACCATGACATAATGTTCTCTTTTCCTTCCTTTTTTTTTCTTTTTCTTTCCTCTCCACTTGCACTGAAGTTTCTTCTGGCTTCTTCAAGAAAGTGCACACACATACACACACCAATTAATTAATTCCAAAACCATTTTTCTAAATTTCCAACGGACTTGTATTCTTGGTGTCTTTTCACATGATCGCAAGCAAGACATGCATGTGATTCCCAGAACCTAGGAAGGTGTACTGAGAAATCCTTTTTCCAGTTGAAATAACTAAGGTACATCTTGTTGTTTTTGTCAAGCATCAGAAGGTATTCTGCCAGCTCTCTGGGAGAGAGAAAATCTTCCACATGTATGAAAGAGTCTGCTGGAATGTAGTTCTCATAGTTTTCTCTGGAAGGGCCCAGTACAACTGGTACTGATCCAGCCAGAAGAGCATTGTAAAGTTTCTCAGTAATGTAATCTTTGTGGATTGAATTTTCAAAGGAAAGGTAAAATTTGCAAGTGGAAATAGTTGGAATCAAGTTTTTGTCATTGACGTAGTCTCCGAAGGCTTGTCCATAGGTATGGATTTCAATGTATTTGCTAAGCTCATTGTAATACTTGACTCGAGCGTGCTCAGGGTTCCAGTTACTTACAACCCAGCAGACCAAGTTTTCCTTACTTGGCACTTCAAATGTAAAGGAACTTGTACCGACCATCATGAAGCCATAAGGCACCTGAATATCTGAATCACGCCGGTAAGTCAGGGTCAGGTTAAAGAGGTGTTCAATGCCACTCTTTTGTGGAGTATGAGTTGGAGACTCCAAGTTCATCCAAATCCACTTCTGGAATGGTGGCCTGGCTTGTTGAGGTAAGTTAGTCAGATCCCAGCTAATATCCCTGTGATGAATGAGAACAGCATGGGATTTGTTATATAATGAGCGGTCAATAGTCAGATGGCACCCGTGGATATTGAACATTGTTTGGCAGGATGTTAGATCAAATGTTTGACCAAATGGCCAAACCCAGATCAAAATAGTAGTTTCATTAAGATTATCAGTTTTGGAAGAAAAAAAGCTCTTCATTTTCAAAACTGAACTGGCTGATTCTATGGGACCAGAGATCCAGCTATTTGTTGGTTTGATATAAATTAGTATCAATGCCATGAAACAGCCAAGGACAATGAAGATAATAAAAAATGGCCGGAAAATTCCTTTAGATGTCGATGTCATAATTTGTTCTGAGAAAAAAAGAGAAGAAAAGAAAGAGAAAATAACATCAGGTATTAAATTTCATGTCCTGTTAAAGTATAATGAAATAATTATAATTGAAATATATTTTACTATAGAAATTAAATATGATCATAATGGTATAATTATATTATATGTCTGGTTAGAGCAATCAGATATCAGACATCAAAATGGATAGGACTCTGGTATCACCAAGCTGTAACCTCAGAAATTTCCTTTGAGTGGAGACAGTAGGGGCTCTATTCATAACAAAGATACAATATTTCTCCTCTTCACATCAAAAGCTAATTGACATTAATTAAAAGCAGAATTTTAATGCATTTCATACTTGGTATAAATCAGTATGTATCTTGAGAAGTCTTTTTGCTTAGAACCTAGGCCAAGAATTTTAAGAAACACAGAGAAAGCAGACACAATTACCCTTTGATTCTGTCCTTGTGCCTGTAAGAGATAATATGCTGCAGATTTTGTCCACCCATATTTGTGTGCATATATGTATGGAGGATATAGGATTAAAGGAATGAAAAAGGAAGGGACTGGAACTTAATTCTGGAATCAGTAATACTGTTAGAAAACCAGTTCATGCCTAAAGGCTACATAGGGATGAACATTCGTGCCTTCTCCAGAGGACTCCTGAATTAGCTAGGGAAGGAAAGCAGCAACTGAGCAGCAATAGGGCAGCTTCTCTCTCTGTTCCCTTATGCAGCCTCCCATAGTTCCCACATAAAGAAAAAATAGTAAAAAAAAAGTCCTTAAGTATTTATGTTTTTATGCCACAGTTCTGTGTTAAGAATTAGAGAAAGTAGAGATAAAGCTGCATCTTTGTGAGCTACCATTTTTTCCATGGAAAAAAAGAGGTGAGGAGTTCTCATAGCTTCCTTTATCCTCTCTCTGGTTGTCTCTTTCTAAGGGAAGTGATAAAGCTCCTTCCCGAACTTCTCTTCCACATGGTTCTTGTGAAATCTAGTAAAGTTAGTGGTTGCTTACTGTTAACCTTTGCTTCTGAATGTAGTCCTATAACTTGGAGGTGTTCTAAAAATGAAAACGTTTAACCATGTAAAGAGCGTGAGCATGAAAACTAATGTGTGAGTGTAGCACTTACGGTTACATCAAAATGTTTTCAAATTTGCTGTTGAGGAAATGAAAAAGGAGGGAATAGCAAGCTTAGCTTTACTCTAACATTATATCTTGAGGAAAAAGGAATTAGCCACAGTGTGTTATCTGTTTTGGGACAGCAAATGGTCTTAATTCTGATTTTTGTTATTGTGGTGGGTTAACCTTGGCTGGCTGTCAGACATGCCCCAGCATCTCCTCAGCAGGACAAGGGGGAGAAACTCAGACAAGAATCATGTGGGTTGAGGTCAGGACAGGGAGATTACTTGCCAATTACTGTCACAGGCAGAACAGACTCACCTTGGGAAAATTAATGTAATTTATTGCCAATTAAAATAGGTTTGGATAGTGAGAAACAAAGACAAAAGTTAACATAATACCTCCCTCAACCTCTCCCCAGGCTCAACTTCCTTCTTCATTCCCAACTCCTCTACCTCCTCCCTGCCCCTGAACAGTGCAGAGGGATGGGGATGGAGGTTTGCAGTCAGTCCACAACATTCCTCTGGGCTTCTTCTTCCTGCTCACATTTTTCCCCCACTCCAACATGAGTCCTTCCCATGTGATACAATCCCTTCGGGAAAAAACCCTCTGTTCCTGTGTGGGCTGTCCATTGACTGCAGTTCCTTCAGAGCATATCCCCTCACTCTGGTGCGGGGCCCTTCTTGGGCTGCAGTGTGGGTACTGCTCCACTGTGGTACTGCTTGGTTGTGCTGCAGGGAAATCCCTGCTTTAGTGCCTGGAGTACCTCCTTCTTCCCCGACCTTGGTGCTCACAGGGTTGTTTCTCACATTTTTTTCCCTTCACGCCTCAGTGCCTGTCCCTGCCTTGAAATACACTTCCCCAGGGCCGCCACCATCTTGGCTGCAGGGCCCAGCCATGACCTCTGGTGGGTCAATTGGAACTGGCTGTGTCCTGCACAGGGCAGCCCTGGTCTCTCCTCATGGGGGCCCCGGCAGCCCCTACTGGGTGTGAACATGCAACACAGTTATATAAAATGTACTGGCATGTTGAGTCTCTTTTGTCTGGGCCCTTCTTTTTAGGACATAATTTAGCAGGTCCTCTCTGCTCTTAGCAAAACTATCCTGAAGGGATTAAAAGGGAGGAACTGCAGCGTCCATGGCTTTTGCACTTATCCTCATCAGTTTAAATACCTCTGAAAGAAAAACGTGGGTTTACAGCAACATCACACAGGCTTTCTTTAGCCTATTTTGGTTTTTGCTCGAAAACATGTCTAGAAGGGAGATTTTGACCTACAAGAGCAAGAGGCTGCTTCCCTGCCTTATTATAATGGAAGTCAGAACTGGGTCTCTGAGGAAGAAGGGATTTATGTTGAGCAGCTCTAGGAGATGAAGCTCAAGGAAAAAAAAAAAAAAGAGGCTAAGCCAATCCTCGTGTAACTTCGTTCTTCAGTTCTGTCGTATTGAAACCAACACACAGAATAGGTATAGCTTTTAAATGAACAGATAGCATGAGCTGAATCTGAACAATAGATTTGGAAAGGTTTCTATTCACAGAGACTGATCATTTTCTGAGGATTTAAATGGATGAGAAATCAGAAAAGGGCCCTAACATTGTGCCTTGTAACTTAGTCACCCTCCAGCTAATAGTCCTTTGACACAAGCATCTCTGATAGGGATTATTTTACACTAAGCTCTTCTCCTAACTAATAAAAAGCCCTGCATCATCACACGGCAATTCTTGCTACATCAGAAATAACCAGATATTATGTAGTCTGTTCTCTGCTTTAAATTCTAGTGTATCACGATTTTGCATTTGTGTAGGAAGCTTTTGAATTGCAATGCCAACGTGAGGATAAACACTTGCTGTTTGCGTTACCCAGAATACAAGTATTAACATCTCACAACACTGAACAGGTGAATATCCTTATTTTACCCCTTCCAGATCTGTTTTCTCACGTTGCTTTGCTGTCCTGTGAACTCATGTGCCCCCTCCTGACCAGGGATCGTGTTTCTTATATTTTGCCTTTCACCAAAACACTGGCCTACAGCCAGGGTAATCTTTTCTAGTTTTTCATCCTTTGGATTCAGAGAACTAATCATTTATTATGCAGACTCATTCATCCATTAGATGTATAGGTATCAATGGCATGCTTCATTTTGAAGCTACTGCTAATGGGATGGTCGCAAAAGGTTGTGAAAGCAAGACCCATTAAAACCTGGAATGAGAAATTTGCAAAGGAAGCAGAAGACCTGAGCAGACTCGGAAACCCCAAGGAGCTGGACAGAATTTTGTCATGAAATTCTGTTTTTCTATTCCATTTTGTGCTAACTCCAGTAATAACTGTGAAGATGTATACTGGGAATAGCAATAGCTTTCAGGATGAAGTGCTAACCTCAGATACAATAACTTTTGTGCTTCATAAAGCAGATTGAAGAACCTATGGAATGGGCCAGCAAACTCTACGTTCATGGCTTTTGAGACTGAGTCCTGTGCACAATACCGTGAAGGCATGATGTAAACACCCGTTGACAAATACTATTATCTTGAGAAGTAACTTGTACTGTTAGGAAGTATAGTTGCAGTTTTTTGTTTGTCCACTAGAATTCATGGAATATCTTTTTCCCGATATTCTCCAGAATGTGGAGTCTTTTCCATATTTCTTTTTTCCTTCTTCTCTTTCATGCCCAAGATAACTACTGATCTCCTGCAGTAATTCTCACAATAAAGGTGTCTCTAAGGAAACACTAGTTAGAAGACATCCAGCCAAGTAACCTTAGCTCACCCGTCCTCTTCCATGGTTTTCCTTCTACCACAGAATCACAAATTTCCTTCTTGTGGATCCCCTCCCCCATCAATTTCTGACATGCCAGACCCACTCTGAAAAAAAAATTTTGTCCAAAAAAAAAAAAAAGTGTTTGCTGAGACTTTTGCCAACCGGAAGAATTTGGTATTTTTGATAGTTTTGTTTTAAAGTGTATTTTAGAGTGTTATGGCGTAACAAGTGTTTTCTAGATGCTTTTGTTTCCAAGTTGAAAGTATACTATTTCATCAGTACAAGACTATTTTTCTCAGTACAAAACCTAGCAAGGCTCCTTTTTAAGTGCAAAACTTGGCGTTCCATCAGCAAGCAATTCCATTTACTAGCAACACAGACAGGGAGGTAATAATGGGGTACCAACAGTGTTAACCCCAAGTACACCAGCCAAGGCTTGCAAAAGTATGTCTATTTTGTGAAAGCATGATGCTCACTAAGAAATAAAATGGAATTTTATGGAAACTGTTTTATCTTGGCTTCATTACAATAGTGACTTCTCATTCATTCCAGCTGGGATAGACAGGAGGTTTTTTTTCTGATTATGTTAACACTGTGTAGGGGAGAAAATGTAACCCTTTTTGGTAAATAAAATCAATACCTGTTTCCCTGGTATATATTTTCATCAGTTTGTCTGGTATACCTTCAAGGTTTTGCCAGTAGCCCAAAATATATCACTGCTTGCAGAGCTATATGCTAGTCTAGAACAGATTTTCTGAAGGTAAAGGCACAAATTTAAAAGTAAGCTGAAGAAAAGATTTTTGAAATCATGGATACTGAAAAATGAATAAAAAAAAATCACTTCTTACTTTTCTCATCTTAGAATTCTTAAATGATCTTTATCATCACTGGGTCTCAGGATAACTCAAGAAGATATACTTAAAAACCTCAAGATAATCTCTGAAGATCATTCCTGGCATCAAACAGGGCATTTCTGGCACAGAGGACTTACGAAGATTTTGGAGCAGAAGAACACAGAGGCAAACAGAGGTGTAGGCCTGTTTAGAAGCAGACAGGTAGCTAGGTAGATGATCTAAGTAGTAAAAGGACAGTCAAATGCAGTGGGAACTGATAAGAATCACAAGCAAACAACTGTTAGAAAGA